ATACATTACTGCACAAGAACATCCATAGCCTTTAGTAGAATTATTCACATCATACAAAATGTAAATAATAGATGGATATTTCATAACATTCATATCAATGGAACAACTATATTTTTCCTTTGTATGTACATAAACATCTTACAAAAATTCTTTTTAACTCATTCAATTTACTAAATACCTGAATGTCAGGCGTTACCATTTTATTATTATCAATACCAACAGTTTTCTAGGATATGTTTTACCATGAGGGCAAATATCTTTTTGAGAACCAACTGTAAATACAAATTTAGTATCAACAATCCCATATATTGGAAATAATATTGTTATATGAGTTTGAGGTGGATTCTTAATTATAAATTGCACATTAAATAGATTCTATTCCCTTAATTTTAGTCTTTCATTTATCATTTTAATAATGAAAAGAATTCACTTAATATTCCTTCATGAATCAGGATCATCAAACTCTTTAGGAGTTTTCAAGACTTATGAAAATTTCCTTTCCATAAATATTTTACTATTCAAGACGTATACGGTTTTATAGTAATAATAGTAATTTTTACCACTATTATTATACATTATTCTTATGTATTTACTGACTCAGATAAAATCCCCACTGCCAATCCAATAGTAACCCTCATCCACATCCAGCCTGAATGATCCTATCTATTTGCTTATGCTATCCTACGGTCTATCCCAAATAAATTAAGCTAAGTCCTACCTCTGGATACACTCGATCTTAATTCCGTACACCTTACCAATAAATAAATGTAATTTAGATACTACAAATTTTTATTTTCCTAACCAATTACCATTTTAAACTCTAATTAATTCATTTATTGTACTAACATAAGTGGGAGCCCAACCCATTGAAAGACGGTTTGTAACTCTTTGACAAATTACACGTATTTTGTACTTTTTAACACTAACATTATTTTCACTAATTAAAAATTTCTGAGACACATATATATTTAAAAATTAAGTTCATGAACTTAAACAAGTCTACGTTCTGAAAACATATTAAAGAAATTTTAATTTTTTATTAATTTATTAAACCTTAATTTTATAAAATTAAGCTATATCTATTAAAAAAATTGCAATACCAACAGCAAGTAGAAGATACATTAAAACTAAAGGCAAAATAACTGACCAACACAATTACATTAATTTAGTATACCGTATACGAGGAAGTAGACTTTGAAAAACCAAAATTAATGAACTAACAAAACATTTTATACCTAATATTGTATCTTTAAATAACACAGACCTAAATAATATAGTAAATATTAAAGTAAATACAACCCTCACAAAAATAATTATTTCATACTCTGCCAAAAAGTTAATGGAAATCCTGAACTAAAATATTCCACATTAAATCCAGATATCACCTCAAATTCACCTTCAATAAAATCTATAGAGCTTCGGTTTAACTCAGCTCAAATACTAACAAAAAAAACTAAAGCCATGGGTACAGCTATACTAAAATTTCACTACTAATATAAAAAAAATGAATCTAACTTCATAAGAAATTATCTGTGAAACTGAACCTAACGTTCTCATTCTTGAATAAGTCAAATTGGAAGATTATCCTAGAAACAAAACAATGTAACTTCCCAAACTTATAAATACAATTATTAATAAAATTGAATAATTTAAATACTAAAAATTAGAATAAATAAATAATATTAGTAATACTATCCACAATATTAATATGATAAATATAAATATTATTATTACAGAACCCAAATAATATAAGTAATAATCAGATTTGACACCTACAAACAACTTTATTTTCAAAAGCTTTAAACCAACACAAAAAGGTTGTAGGAATCCTCCGTAACCATCTTTATTAAGACCTTTCCGATCTTGAATATATGCTAAAATTGTACGCTTCAAAAATGTACAGAAAGAAATAAATAAAATTACATAAATAATTATCAACAAAAGTGACACTAAATTACAAAAAAAAATAACTCATATATAAAATTATTATTTATATACAAAATGTATACATAGTTAAAGTCTAACTTTAATGCACTATCTCTGCCAAAATAAGTTATTTCAACATAAACAAATTTAAATAATTAAGTTTTTTAATCCACAATTAATTAATTGTAAAATAGATAGAAACCGATCTAGATCGCGCCGATCTAAACTCAAATCATGTAAGATAGAACAAATCAAACAGACCTATAAATTATAATCCTTCTTATAATTTAAATTCTTAATTCAACATCGAGGTTGCAATCACTTTTATTAATATGAACTAACCAAAAGGAATACGCTGTTATCTTTGAAGTAATTAATTCTTAAATAACTTCTTATAATTTCTAAGTCACTAATCAATGTAATAAAAATTTAAAGTGTAATTAATTTAAAGATTATCTCAACCAAATAAATTTTAAATTTCTTGTAAATTTACTAAATACAATAAAATTTAAAAAATTCTATATAATTTTCTTGTCCCATACTTAAATTTCAGCATTTTTACTGAAAATTTAATTTACAATAAGATAAATAAATAAATCGTAAGTCTCATCACCTCATTTATCCCAACTTCTAATTAAAAGGTAATTTATTATGCTACCTTTACACAGTTAAATTACTGCGACGTTTAAAATAATATTAATGAGCAGAGCCACTCTTAAATTAGTATAATTAAAAGGATATGTTATCGACAAACATGTGAACTTAGAAATTTCCCTAGTTCATATAAATGTAATCTTAAATCAACCTT